AATAACGAACACACCAGTCTTCGGGAACTAAGTATAGTTTGAATAGCTTTGGTCTGAACATCAGTGAGTTGCATGATGTATGGATATCGTCGCTGTATTGGCCCATCGGTGATTGGCCTGACATCCAAGCCAACACAGCATCCACTGTGGCAGCGACATTTATCCCCCCCCCCCACCCTCAGACATTTATCCCCCCCTCAGACATTTTCACCACCTGGCAACCATCATGGTGAAAACAAAGGCCAATAAATTCTCAGAAAACGGTATTTTGGGATAGCTGCAGTTCTGTAGCTCGCTTGGTTTCGCTGTCGGTTATTTTGTTCGTCGTGGTGTTAACGCGAAACCAGGGAGCTACAGTTCCATCATATGCGAGTTACCATATTTTACCGACCTGAAATCAGGTCGGGCCGTAACAGCCCTTTTTTTTGACTCCCATGTGCGAAGCACAAAATGGGAGTCTTTGCAGTTAGTATGTGTGTATGTGTGTGTGTATGTGTGTCCGACTGTTCCACTGCTATCTCAAGAACCATACATCGGTTTTTGATGAAACTTGGTGCATAGATGCTCTGAACATATGCGCAGATTTGATTAGGTTTTGGTAAAAATCCATGCTCGTTAATTACCTAATTTGCATGATAATTAGCTAATTTTTAGCTGTTCTATGACTGTTCCACTGATATCTAAAGAACCACTCATTGGATTTTGATGAAACTTGGTACATAGATGCTCTGAACATATGCGCAGATTTGATTAATTTTTGGTAATAATCCGTGGATACTAATTACCTAATTTGCATAATGATTAGTCAATTTTCGGTTTTTCCACTGATATCTCAAGTACTAATCATCACATTTCAATGAAACTTGGTACATAGATGTCATACGACACTGCACAGACCTGATAGTTTTTATGGTAATATCAGTACATATTAATTACCTAATTTGCATAATTAATTTTCAGCTTTTCTACTGATATCTAAAGTACTAATCATCACATTTCAATGAATCTAGAATTATGCAGACCCAATTAGTTTCCGGTAAATATTTGTGCATATTAATCACCTAATTTGTATAATTAACCAACTTTCACACTGATATCTCAGGTACTATACATCACATATCAATGAATGTACATGGATGCTGTAGGACAATAGACAGACCTGAATAATTGTGGGTTAAAATCTGTACATATTAATTACCTAATTTGCATAATTAACCAATTTTAAGCTTTCACACTGATATCTAAAGTACCGTAAAAACTCCAAAATTTCGACCGGTTTTAAATAATTGGTGTTAGATATGTGACGTGTTTTTAGAGTCAAAATTAAGGTGCATTTTCGGACGGTCGAATTTTTCAGAATAGAAATCAGCAAATGAAAAAATGGGGATGATAGACAGTGTGCTTCATTAGTTTTTGACTCCCATGTGCGAAGCACAAAATGGGAGTCTTTGCAGTTAGTGTGTCTGTATGTGTGTGTGTATGTGTGTATGTGTGTATGTGTGTATGTGTGTGTGTGTGTATGTGTGTCCGACTGTTCCACTGCTATCTCAAGAACCATACATCGGTTTTTGATGAAACTTGGTGCATAGATGCTCTGGGCCAATGCGCAGATTTGATTAGGTTTTGGTAAAAATCCATGCTCGTTAATTATCTAATTTGCATGATAATTAGCTAATTTTTAGCTGTTCTATGACTGTTCCACTGATATCTAAAGAATCACTCATTGGGATTTTGATGAAACTTGGTACATAGATGCTCTGAACATATGCGCAGATTTGATTAATTTTTGGTAAAAATCCGTGCATATTAATTACCTAATTTGCATGATAATTAGCTATTTTTTAGTGGTTCCATGACTGTTCCACTGATATCTAAACAACCACTCATTGG